AAGATCTAAGAAATTTATCTGGGCAATGCTTTTTTTGGATACAAAAGCAAAGATAGACTAGGGGTATTATATTTAACTTCCTCACAGCAAAGGAAACAATCAGCAGAGTTAAAGACAATGTATAAAATGGGAGAAAATATTTGTAATTCATACATATAATAAGGGATTTGTATACAAAATATGCAGAGAACTCTAAGAACTCCAGAAAAGAAAACAAGAGTCTGATTTGTAAAGGGACAAAGGATCTGAAATGGACATTTTTCAAAAGAAAACTACAAGTGGCCAAAAGGCACATGAAAAATTGCTCAAAATCAGTAATCATCAGAGAAAAGCAAGTAAGACCACACTGAGATATCACCTTGCACCTATGAAGATGATTATTATGAAAAAGATGAAAGACAAGTTTTAGCATAAAGAAAAGGCATACTTACATACTATGAGTGGAAATGCAAGTTAGTTCTGTTATTATGAAAAGCAATATCAGTGTTCTTCAAAAAACCAAAAATAGGGCCGTGGATTTATCTCAGTGGCACTGTACTTGCCTCACGAGTGCAAAGTTCTGAGTTTGATACCCGGTACCGAAAAAATTAAAAATAGAACTATCATGTGGTCCAGAAATCCCACTATTGGGTTTGCATGAAAGGAAATGAAAGCAGTATGTTAAAGACATGGCTGAACTCTCATGTTCATTGCAGCATTACTCACAATGATCAAGATATAGAAATGCTTCAGTTGGATGAATGGAAAGATGAAATGTGCTATCATACACAGTAAAATATTGTTCATCACAAAGGAAAGAAATCCTTCCACTTGTAACAAGCTGGAGGACATCATCTCAAGTGAAATAAGCTAGTCCCATAAAGACAAATACTGCCCAATTTCGCTTATATGTGGCATCTAAAAACGTCCAGCTCATAGAACAGAATGATGATTGATGGGGTGAAGGGATGGGGGAAAGGGGAAATGTTGGTTAAAGAACTCTTGGTTATGAGTACGTTCTGGAGATCTATTGCACGGCCTGATGAGAATTTTAGTCCATTTGTGCCACTATAACAAATATACCAGCATATAAAAGAAGAGAAATTATTTCTCTCAGTTCTGGAAGCCAGAGAGTTCAAGCTGATGGAGCCATATCTCTGCTTCTAAAGTGGTACCTTGTTGCTGCACCCTCCAGCGGAGAGAAATATTCTGTCCTCACACGATGGGATGGAAGAGACAAAAAGGAGCAAACTTCTTCAGTCAAGCTTATTATGAACGCATCCAATCCAATTTAATCACCTCCTAAAGGACATACTTCTTAATTCTGTTTCACTGGGATTAAGTTTCAAAGTGACTTTTTTTTTTTTTTTTTTTTTTTTTT